ATATATATATATATATCTTTAATCAAAGTTTTTTAGTTAAAAAGAATTAACAATTAAAATTTCAAGAATGGTTGACTTCGATATAAGTCCAAATCATAGTTGCTATAAAAACGGCATTAATCGATAGATTTTTATTTGCACATTTCAAAACACCAATTTTTTAATTAAAAGTTATTAATAATTAAAATCTTATACGAAGGGAGAAGTAAAATTAAAAAAAAAATCTTAATTAAATTTTCACAATTTATTTTACCAAATACAATCAATTTAACGAAACATGCTAATACAAATAACAGAACATTTTCAAATATCAAAATTTCATTCTATCAAGTTCTATCTTTAATTTTAACAAATAATACATCCATTTGAAACAGATTTTCTGCAATGACAATTTTTAATTGTATGCAAATTACATATGTAGTAAAAATTAGATTTGATATATCTGGCTATATATATAAGTTTTCTTTGTTATACACAGCTATATTCAGAAATTTTACCTAGGTGCACCATATGCATCATTTTATCCTTGTTTAGCATTCAGTAAATATGGATAAAATGATATACGCAGGATGCATCCGAATGAAGTTTCTGAATGCGACCAAAGTATATAAATTGTTACTTATTTTAAAAAAATATTACGAATGTATTGATTCATTTATGCCATTCAACAAAGTGGTTGAGAAGAGAATAACAACTTACTTCTTTTCCTTCCATACTTGTTTGTCTTCCGTTAAAATATCTTGATCAGTTAAACCAAAAAATTTAAGTCGTTTTATGCTTCGCTGATATATACTATACTGTCTAAATTTTCTCAGCCGAATGGTGCCTAATCTCCAAAAAGACTTTAATTCAGTAAAATGGTTTGCAATAATACTGTCCAAATGATGAACATTAGACACTGCATGTGGCAATTAAATTTCTTTACTTACTTTTATCAAATCAAGGTTATCAGCCAATATAAATGCAACGTGACTTCATTATTTAATATGATATCTATTTACCATCTAATTTTCAAATCTTCCATCAATAATTCCACTATCAACTTTCAAGCACTTTCAAGTCAAGTTGTCATATATAAATAACATGGCCGCACACAGCTGACAGCGGAAAAAGCAGCTTTGCAACTGTTTTAAAATTCTTTAATACGATTGGTTGTTACCTTTAGTTCTTTATAGATTTAAATATATAAATCAATCTTATTGAAGAATTTTATAACCATTGCAAAACTGCTTTCTCTGCTGAACGCATTCAAGCTTCTGCACACAGGATGCAGCAACACTTGCCGTGCGGCGGAAGTTAACGCGATAAATAATTATTCTTTCACTCTTCTATCACTCAGAAAAGTGATAAATTGATTGGCTACCATGTCAACTTTTGCCACGCAACAAATGTTCCCGCGTCCTGTGAACAAAAATCATAAAGCCTATTCTACAATGTGCTTTTTGTTTCATGTTTCTTGTTTTTTACTTCTTGTTTTTTTCCCCTTTACAACCGTTTTATCGACAATTGTATTTCTTGTTTCTTTGAAGTTCGTTAACTTTTATCTCGGGCGATATAAAACAAAAAATCGGATAAGAAGCAAAAAGACAAAATGTAAAAATAGCGAAAAGCAAGAAACAGAAAACAAAAAGCACATTGTAGAATAGTTTAAGAATAATAAGCTCATTTTATCAACACCATTGAGCTGAGTATTAAACAACTATATTGTTGATTATGTATAAGCAATCTATAAGAGAAATTAGCAAAATTGCTTCGCTCTTCTTGGTTGGTTTTATAGATCTAATAACTCTTAATTTGAATAGAAAAAATCTAATTAGCAAATAATGTAAAATCGCCAAAATGTTGGTTATGCGATTCGGTGAGAGAAACAAGGATAAGAGAAAGGTACAGAGATGGCTGCGTTCAGCAAAAAAATAATTTCGCAATCGTTTTATGATTCGCAGATAGAATCGTCCCTCTAAAAAAATAATCCAATCAGCGAGTAGAAAACTTCCAATAGTTGCAAAATAAACATTCTGCTGAACGCAACCATTGATATAAAGATGTTAAACTAAATAATACGATTTATTAGCAATAATAAAGTTTATTAAATTTCTATCCGATTTATTACATATTAACATTAGTTGTAATGAAACAAAAGAAACTTATTTCTTAAAAATATTTTAATAGATAATTTCGCTTTCTCTCTATTCAACGACCAAGTATATGTATATTTCATTTTTAGTACAAAAATTTTGTGGAATTTTGTAATGCAAACAAACCTTAATATCTGTAAATACTTAATAATACTTAATAATATATATTAATATGAAACATAAATATATTTCATAGAAATATTAGAATACAAAATTTTACTTTCAATTCATAATATTTAAAAGATAGAATATAAGAGATTTGTTGAAATAACAAAAAAATTTTAATAACAGCGCGAATACAAATATATGAAAATCTATTACAATTAGTTCTTTTTTAGCAGTAGGCACAAGTATCATATCACTGAAACTGTAATCTCGAATCACAGAACTGATTCGATTTTATTCCCAGATAGATGAAATTTATCTGATTAAGCAATCGATGTATTTCCTGATGTTCTAATATAAAATGCGATTTCATTACATTTTAATAAATATTTTAAAAATGAGATTTAAATCGTACATAAATTTTTATTTCCTAATTAAGACAATTTCTTATGTTATTTTTATTTAAAAAATAAGTTTAAATATAAAATGTATAATTAAAACACGTTTATCTCGTTCTTTCAAGAGATACATATACTTAGCTTTTTTTTGAAAATGTGATTTTCTCGAGAGAAAGGTTTACATTAAATCTTAAAATTTATATTAGATTATTCTCATTATCATCATCATCATCATCATCGTCATCATCATGATAATGATCATCATCATCATCATCATCATCATCATCATCATCATCATCATCATCATCATCATCATCATCATCTTCATCATCATCATGATTATTCGCATAAAAGCATGTTCTTTTAATGGCTATATGTATGTATTTTTGCCGCCATTGCTGAATCGAGCGATCGGTAATATTGTCACAAAAGCTGAGATCAATCATCTCTAATTTAGGACAATTCACGAAAATTGCGTGACATATCTCAGTTGTCAGGGATAATGTGCCTAACAAATCTAACTGTTTTAAATTTTTACATAATGTCAGTGCTCTTAGATCACGTTCAGTAAGGCCTCTAACAGAGATCAAGAAAACTTTTTCCAGATGTTGACAGGAGGAAAACAATCTACGAAAACTATCACCATAAGCAGTTCTATTGTAATAACTGTAAATAAAAAATATAATATTGTTTAATCGTAAACAGAAAGACAACACAGCTATTTCAAGATACAAGCGAAACAAACATACAAATTTTTATGAATATGATAATTTGTATGTTTATTTTTAAAAAACTGGAATGATGCATAGATTCGTATGAGAACAATAGACTTATTAATTAGTAAGTTAATCTTAGATTTGATTCGTCATCCCATAAACGAATGAATACGTATTTTGCAAAAAGTGCGACAAAACATGTATTTTCAAAAGAAAGTGTGACAAAACACGTACCACCAACCAAAATCCACTTCTCGTAGATTTTTGCAATCAGCAAGAGCATCAATACCTTGCGATGTAAGAGTGCGCGTTTTCCATAAATCTATACTTTCTAAATCTGGACATGAATTTCTCAATTCCATTGCAACTTCATCTACATTCAGACTTGTGTCGATGCCTCCTATATGTAAGTGACGCATTCGTATATTTTTTCGCAGTATCTTGCAAAGAGTTTGAGTATTTATATGTGTCTTGTAAAGATCCAAATGCTCCAAGAACTCCAGATTTTCGAGATATGAGAATCCTCTTTCTTTTATCAAATCACAATTACGTAGACCTAATTCTAAGAAAAATATATATGTATTGATTATATAATTTGCTTATGATTATAATAATCATTTGTATATATACCTTTCAAATTTTTGCATATTGTCGAAATTGTAAGCATGATATTGTTATTGACACATGAGCAGCAATTTAATCGTAAATGCGTTAAGAGACTACCACAAGAAGTGAAAAGAAAATTTTCAAGTTCCCGGACAGAAAATTTGTCACACCATGAAAGATCCAACCGTCGTAAATATTTACATCTAAGTGCTAAGTTATACAATGTTTTTGTATTAATAATATGCCAATATGGTTTTAAGTTTAAACTTGTATAAAGCAGACGGTCTCGTGCTAAATTATTAAAATGTTTATTCACTCTGCCCATACGGTATAATGACTTTAAGTCCAAGTTTCTTAATATTCTCATTATTATTTCATCCTGCAAGATAAAATATGATATATTTTAATAAATGAAATAACAGTAAATATTAATATATAACAAAAACTTCTTAGTATACTTTACAGGAAGTGCACACAAACTATAACGTGATGGCTTCTTGAATTCATCTGAAGAGTGTTTAACATCTTTCGTAAACTTTGGAAGTTCTTCTGATAAAAAGCGTTGCATACTATTAGATCCCTCTTTAAGAGGTGGTACATAATAATAAAGGAATTTTAGCCGAGATGCTAGGTTGCTGTCGTGAAAATTCGCTACTACATCGCTACAAATAACATTGGTACAAACTTACTTCCACTTATCAAAAAAAAAAAAAACCTTACTTAATATTGATAATTCCAATACCTTTTGCATACAATACAATGTTTAATTAATGTTTTGTTGAGGTAGATTAGATCCGAATGTGCATTTTTATAATTTGGTGTTAAATTATGGATATCCTCACAGCAAGGAGTTGCAAACAGCTTGCGATTAATGTTTATTAACATATTAGTTAAATTCTGATTGTAAGCTGGATCTCTAGGAAAAATCAATTCTAATGTCCCAATAAGCATCACAGCCTCTATCTCTGCGTAACTGTCCAATAAACTGTGGTTAAATTCTAATCTGAGTAATTTGGTTTTAAAGTCACACGGTTGCAAAGGCGGAGAAAATATCCGTGATTTCGGAGGAACAATCTGAGGTGGTCCATTCCACAGTAAAAACCATCGACCTTTAAAATCTTCCGCCCAGATTCGAATTACGCTCCCAGGATTAAATACTTCGTATATAGAAACTCTTATTGGATATACAGCTTTATCATACTCAATATCTTTAATATAAACAATACAATTATACTCTCTTTCTTCTCAATAGAAACATATCTTTTTTAACAATCTTTTATTTATTAATTAAAATATTACGTACCAATATAATCTTGACTCACAACATCTGTATTGTTCTGTGGCATATAATCAATTGATCTCGAAGGTGCTTTGTTCCACCACGGTCCATAAGTCCTCTATATGAAAGTCAGAAAAAAAGATCAAATATTATAAAACTTTATGGCATTAAAATAGATTGCTATTATTGGAGTGATGTCACTCTAGATATAAATAATTAAGTTATAATTGATGGATCTCCTACATTTATTTCAATCCTTATTCCATGGCTTTGTTCCAAAATTCACTGCCAATGCTAAAAATTTACAGTTTGTAGTAATATACATTATAGATTTTACTTGCAATAAATTTTGAAACACAGCTCTATATCTATTATCAGTTTTATGAGGTTAATTGAAGAGTTATAAATAAAAGAGTAAGGCCGAGATTGCACCAATGTTACTTCAATTTTAAGCAAGGCTTAAAACTATCTCCCTTTCTATCTCTCTGTTGACTTTAAAAAAAGATAAATTTTTAAGTTTTGCTTAAAGTTAGAAGAATGTTAATGCAATTGAGCTTAAAAGATAACCATTTGGAAATACAGAAAAGTTCGTGATTGTTTTTCAGCTTTTAAGACAATAATAAGTAATGCAAGGAAATATACATACCATGGCAAATGATTGTGGACAATCTCCATAATTTGGAAATTGACTGACTGGCCCAATTATGTTAGTAGCAACATAATATACACTAGAATTACTGCCATACTGAGAACTAAAGCTACGAACATTCTCCACAAATTGGTGAATAAATTCAACATAATTTTCCTTGGCTCTTTTTTTTTTTTCCATGGCTATTCTTTCGAAATGACTATCATTGTCACTATATAAAGAGGTCGAGGGACGAGATAACTGGAGAGGTAACATATTTTTGAACTGAAAGAAAATAAGAAATAGAAAATGTGTTTTTTTAAGTACACATTAAATTACTGTTTTAATTATATAATTATATTATATTTTATATATAAAAATTAAATCTGTCATCAGATTTCTAACTCTTTATATGAAGCTAATATCAAGTATGTACGATAGAAAAATTGATTAACTTCATCGAAACTCGCAAAATTGTAACTAAATGACTGTATACATCAATATACATCAATATACATGTTATACACACGATATCTATGAATGAATCTATTAAGAATCTATTATGAATTAAAATCAATTTTTTCTCACGTGGTCTGTCTTCTGTTCCTGCACTAAGCTGCTCTAGAACTTTCTTTCTGGCTTTCGACAAACTATGGAGAAACATTACACTTCCCACACACACACACGCACACACACGCACACACACACACGCACACACACGCACACACACGCGCACACACACACGCACACACACGCACACACACGCGCACACACACACACACACACACACACACACACACACACACACACACTCTTTCAGTTATACTTCACTATGCCTTAAACATGTTAGACTCCGCGACCAGAGGACGCGCTCTCACGAACACGATACTGAATTTCCCATCTCTCTTCTTCGTTCTTTAACCATTCGAACACACGAGACACATTGTCGCGATAAGATATTGTAATATGTGATAATAAACGAGCGTTGTTATTTGTGCATCTGAGTTTCCTCCATTACTTACATTTATCGTATGTAGTAATCCGCTACATAATTAGTGATCCCATATATATTTGACTATTTTTTACAAATATATACTTTCGAAATTAAATTAGAGGTGATGAGTTTTTCAGTTTAACAGTTGGCAATACTCAAAGTTAATCGACGGATAAAGTAATTGGCGTTGGTGAAACTAGTCCTTATGTCTAATTCACACTGGACGCAGCAAGCGTCAAGCAGCGGAGCAGTAACCAACCAGCAAGGCGATATTGTTCACGCCACTGTAAATATCGCCTCACTGATTGGTTGCTGCTCCTCTGCTTAACGCTTACTGCGTCCAGTATGAATTAGACATTACTCTTTCTAGGTCCATCAAGCTCTAGTACTATATGTCGATGGTTGGAAGGCACCCTAGGTTTTAACACAGAACATGTACCAAGTTTTACATACGAGTTTACTGGCCGCAGCACACACTTTTGCGCAGAACGCATAAGAGAATCAACCAATCAAAATGCTTCTCTTCTGTGAAGTAGGAGGAAAAGAAGGATGATGATTTGTTGATTCTTTTATGAATCATGCATTATGCGTGATGTATGCTGCGGTCTTACGCTTAAGTAGAGTCCTATATATAAAGAGACCCGACATCGAAACCCCTACCATCAGATTGAATCCCTAGGCCCGATCTCTCCAACTCCGATTTAAGCTAATTGATCGATTAAATTTCAGTCATTATCAACTACAAGACTTGAAAACATTCTTTTCCGGCGGGGCACTCGGTACTCACGTGTGTATAACTTTTTCGCGATTGAAGAAATTTACGACTAATAAGAATCCGTGCTGTTAATTATCACATCGTTCTTCACAGCTGCCAGATAATTAGGTCATGTTTTCAATCTTGTAGTTTGCCATACTGAAATTTAATCGACCGATTAGCTTAATCAGAGTTGTTGAAACCGGGCCTTATACTATCACTTCTTGTGCCGCCATGTTTAGACCGCTCCAGTATCATAAACAAACATACATTCAACATTCTTCATTGTGGCGCTATTGACCTCTCTGATTTACTGCATGCAAAAGCCAAAATTGAAGAAGAAGAATGTACTCCATTGATCCATTAGCGGAATGAGCTTTGTATTCTATTAACGATTACGTGTGTTACACAGCCTGTATAAACAGCTGTGATCACAATATGGCTACTTCACTTAGGAGGGAATACTCAATCAGATTACATATCAAAATCAGACTGCCAATCAGAAACTGGGACATCAATCTCTATATATAGAACTCTATTGTCAAGTAATCAGCAGCGCGTGCGCGTGTAGGAGTCGGCAGGAGCACGCATGCGTTGGTCAATTCCACGATCTGGGGTTACTGCATGCGACCGTGGGTCCGGTCGCATCTCTGACCCGAAGATCTGCTAGTAAACACAAACTTTTGAGATATAAAACGATCCCCAGTGACGATATATCAATCCTATCGTTACATTATAATATTAAGTGTACATAATTAGGCTCACAATGGTAAGAATGGTCCGTTTTCGATGTCTTGTTCGGTCGATGATTCAGGTCGGCTAACCTGCAAATCTATTCACAAGCTTTTCCCGTTGTAGGACGTATTTTTAATGATCAGGCGAAGAAAATTGACGATATTTACCGATGCAAAGGATGATACTACGGTCCTCGAGCTCAAGAAGATGATTGAAGGTAAGGCGTTGTATCACAGTAACAGCATTTTTTCTTTTTTGACATGCTTGGCCATTTATAATTGGATGATTACTTCAATAGAACGATTTGCGGTTTACTGAATAAATGTAGGATTAGGTCTAATCAGTAGTATAGACAGAATAAATTGCATTAACAGTGAATGGGACATGGGGAAACAGGAATAATTTGTGTGTGTGTATATGTGTATATGTGTGTACGATACGCGCGCATATACACATACACATACATACATACATACAATTACTGACCAGCTGTATGTCAAGTTT